AGTAACCTTTAAAGGATGCCACAGTTGACCCTAAAGCTCGAGTTAACAAAGAAAAATCCCATCATCCCTGAGAAGGCTCAGGGGATCAAAGTGCTTGGCCAACCAGACACCAGCGTTGATCCTGTAATCTTAACAGCAGTGGAAGGAGAGAAACCACTTCTGATAGGTGTTTTCTCCCTTCCCATAGCTCCATGGCCTGCGCACATCCACAGACAGCAGCAGCTAGTTTACTACAAAAGTAACAAATAAAATAATAAGAACTTCCACTGGGTTATGTTCTCTTCAAATGTTAGGGTACAGTGGCTGGTCTTGGGGGAGCCAATAAGCTAAGGTGGATAAATTGAACCTGAAATATTGGTGGTTATTTAATGCATCAGCTCCTCAGCTCCCAACCTCATCCTGTCCACACTTCTGCCCTTCACCTGTCTTCCTTAGGATCTTAGCATCTCCTGTTACTTGCATTGGTTTTGCTTCTTTATATTTTCCTCTTTTCTAGCCCAGGCTAGCTCAGCATTGCCAATCCTCCCTCAGCCTCTCCAATGCTGGGATTGGTATACAGAACTATACCACACATTGCTTTTACCTTTATTGACAGGGTCTTACTCTATAGCCTTGTCTAGCTTGATATTTACTATGTAGACCAGGCTACCCTTAACCTAATGGCAATCCTCCTTACTCAGCATTTTGGGTGCTGGGATCACAGATAGGATCCATCCCTCCTGACTCTTACATATCATTTTGTTTTTTGATTTTTTGAGACAGGGTTTCTCCGTAGCTTGGGAGCTTGTCCTGGAACTAGCTCTTGTAGACCAGGCTGGCCTCGAACTCACAGAGATCCACCTGCCTCTGCCTCCTGAGTGCTAGGATTAAAGGCGTGTACCACCACTGCCCAGCTCATGTGTCAATATTTAAGAGATTGCTTCCTATCCTCTTACCCTGCCAACCCTGCATGAGGAAGTTGTCTTTTCTCACACCCTTCAATTTCCTTTTGTTCATGTCTTCTCTCCTCTCTTAAATTACCTCAAAGGAAAATATAACCTATGCTTGGTGCCATCCAGCACTGTAGCCGTGTGTGATATCTAAATAATTAAAATCAGATGGAAAACTAAAATGATGTCTACTCAACCGGAGGCTGGAGAGATGGCTCAGCAGTTAAGAGCCTGTACTGCTCCTGTTGAGGATGTGTGTTCAGTTCCCGGCATCCACATCAGAAGGTCAGAGCTGCCCGTAATGCCAGTTCTAGGGGACCTGATGTCTCTGGGTTCAGCAGGCACCTGCACTCAATTGCACAGAGACACACAGAGACATATATAGTTTAAGATAGAATAAAAGCAAATCTTTTAAAATTTTTCTCAATCAACTGGGTGGTGGTGGTGGCGTACGCCTTTAATCCCAGCACTCAGGAGGCAGAGGCAAGTGGATCTCTATGAGTTCGAGACCAGCCTGGTCTACACGAGCTAGTTCCAGGACAGACTCCAAAGCTACAGACAAACCCTGTCTTGAAAAACAAAACAAAAAAAAAGTGTTTTTTCTCAATCTAGCTGGGTGTGGTGGCACATACATTTAAACCCAACACTTGGGAGGCAGAGGCAGACAGATCTCTGAGTTTGAGGCCATTCTGCTCCACAGAGTGAGTTCCAGGAAAGCCAGGATACATATAAAGACCCTGTCTCAAAAGAAAATTTTTATTCACTTGTACTAGCCACATTTTAAGTTCTAAATCATTCCTGGTGGCCACAACAATATTCCACAGAGCTCATCCATACTAACACCCTTGTGGGAGAAGGGCCTATTAACTGGACATGGTGGCACACTACCGTATTCTCAGCATGCTGGAGGGAGAGGCAGGAAGATTGTCAAGAGTGTTAAGTGGAACTTTTAGTGTGTTTCAGGTGATATATATATATATATATATATGTATATATATAGTGTGTGTGTATGTATATATACATATATATTTGTAATGTGTGTGTCCATGTATACATACACACAGAGACAGACAGACAGACAGATTGATAGAGAGATAAAGAGAGGAGACACAGAGAGAGGTTAGAAGGAAACTCTCTTTCAAAATGGAAGAGTTCTAGAGTACTCCAGTATTCCTCAGTTGGGGGCCCCTCTACTCTTGGGAGCTCCTTTTCATTTTGCCTTAATAAACTCATGTCAGCTCTGCTAAAACAAAGAGTAAGAACAACAAAGGTTCTACTTGGTAGCACTGTCCAGGAGGGAAAAGATGCAGAGACCAGGCCATCATACCCACATTGGTGGATGTTCGGGAAAACAAGGACATGATAGCCATGAGCAACTGAGGTCTGAGAGGGGCTTGGTGCAAGTGGTCCAGGGGAAATGACCCAGACTGTTAAACTGGGTTCAGTAGGAGGGAAGAAAAAGTGAGAACTGGGATAAAAGAAGAAGAGTCAAGACAGCATCACTTGGACAACGACCTCAGGAGATGAATTGGGAAAAAAGCCTGGGTGGCTGTGGGACAGGAGGTCAGGGAAGCAAATCTGAGCCCCAGGCAGAGACCATATAACTGGGACATTTGCAAAAACTCTGGTTAAAAAATTGGGTTTCCTTGGGGCTGGAGAGATGGCTCAGAGGTTAAGAGCACTGCCTGCTCTTCCAGAGGTCCTGAGTTCAATTCCCAGCAACCACATGGTGGCTCATAGCCATCTATAATGAGATCTGGTGCCCCTTCTGGTCAGCAAGCATACATACAGATAGAACACTGTATACATAATAAATAAATAAATCTTAAAAAAAAAATTGGGTTCCCTACTCCTTGAGAGAACTGAGATAAGGCTGTCAGAGGGATGTGACATGGTCTGATTACACATTGACAGCTGTCTCATTGTTTGTGAATTTATTTGTTGGTTGCTCACTTTCCCGTGGTGAGTTGCTTGCACAATTCTAGATACTTTACATCCCTATTGTGCTGAATCATACTCCCCTATCCTTAGTTTATTAATGATAACTGCATTGAAATAAAAATCTTTTCAAAAATTCTTCTTATGGTCATTGGAATTAGGCCTGGTCCTAGGTTATAGGAAATCTAGCATTATAACATGTTGCCTTTCGAATGAAGGAGGCATGGTTTAATTCTGTGTGGGCCACTTTAGCACTGGTTCTCCTAGCTTTTGACAGTGCAAAATGCTGCCCTTGAGCACACGGGATGCCTCAGTAGATAAAGGTGCTTGTCACCAATCCTGAGCTCAACACCCATAACCTGCATTTAGAAGGAGAGAACCAGCCACCCTTAGTTGTCCTCTGACCGTGTGTGTCCCCTGGAATGCGCATGTACTGCCTGATACAAAAACTATTTTAAATGTAATCTTTAATAAATTAGAAAAATGCTGCTCTTATTCCAAAGAAAATAGGGATTTATGGGAATAAAAATTTTAGTGACCAAGGCTCAAAACAATATAGGTTATTTTATCATGAATTTCATGCTCTACTGTAGAAGAGGCTATATGAACGTTTACAGTCCCAGGATAAAAGGAAGTCATAAATTGATGCATTTACCAAGGATCCTGGTGGGAATATCAGGCAGATGGGACACAATAGAACACAGGGATCTCTTTATAGATTTCTGGTGTTCTATAATTCTTAGCTATAGGGTTGGTGGAAGCTGACTGTGTGAAAATGTAACAATACATTCCAGAAGTTGTTCCTGATTGTCACAGGATGATGCAGGGGTTGGTAGTAAACGGCTACTGAATGATGGGAGAGAATTTATACTATTTGTGGCTCGGTATCTACAATTTTCCAACCCTCCATAGTCTCCCTGCAGGATCTTCATAGGTGGATTCTACAGGGAATTACAACTCAAACTTCAGTAGTTGAGATGAACTCAAGTGTTCTTCTCAAGCATGGAAAGTCAGAAAAGAAAAGGATTTCCAGCCACCAGCAAGGTGCTTGCTCCATTACAGAGCTCACCTCACTACTCAGTTGAATTCCAGAATGTGGAGAAGGTTTCCTTTGGGAGCCTGGAAAGCTATTAGCCATCCATGTCTGTTCCCTTCATTTTATGAGCAATAGCCCATAGGACACCCTGTGAGATGGCTCAGTGACAGTTTGTGTCAAGAAGGGTGGCAGACTGTGTGAGGCAGTGAATGCCCAAGTATACTACCCTTCCTCAATAGAACTCTAAAGGGACAGAATGGTTGGTACCTGATAAAAAGTAAGATAGTTGTGTCTTAAGTTGGTTTTATATGTTTTGAATTTCTTATAATAAATAAGATGTTTAAAGTGTTCATTACAATCATTGTTTGGCCACCAGTTTGCAGCATTAGTTTTTTGATCTCTTCTAAGTACAGGGGCTGTTAGTGTGATAGTGCAGAAGCCCGGGCCTGAAGATGAGTCTTGGAGGATTCATGAAAACTATTTCCATCTTGAAGACTAGTAACAGGGCAAAGTTTCCTCTCTGAGAGGAAGTCATGGATTCTTCTGACAAGAAGTGGAGTTAATGAAGTACTAGGCAGGCTTACTCATGTTTTTATGGTTTACCATTTAAGAAACGAACATTGAAATCTAGATGTTGGAATCTGAAGACATGTACCATCCACCATAACATCCCCCAGGAAGATGTGATATCAGACACTGTATGCAGCAGCAGTCTGGCTCAGAGCATCTTGCTTATGATTAAGGTGGTTGAGATTCAGGGACTAACCCCTGTATCTACGGGGCAGAAACAGCTCTGTGTCCAGCAGGAGGCAAGTGCACCTTTGCTATTAGAAGTCTGGTTTTTGCTTAAGAGTTCTACCAAGAGAACACACTCTTGTCTCTGCCTCCAGTTTTCTCTGCTTGCTGCCTTATTTATGTCATGACCAGAAGTGAGATTGCTGGCTGTATGTGAAGAAGGACCAGGAAAGAAGAGGGTGTTGGGGAGGACAGGGTCCCTGGCAGTGAGGCCTGTGTGATTCACAGTCAGAATGCAGACCTGCCTGGGTACAGTGTGCTGAGTGCCACAGCAACCAGAGCATCTTCTCCTTGTCCTCCAGGTCAGCACCATGATGCATCCTCAAGTCTTCATTTCTGGCCTCATACTTCTTCTCCCAGGTAAGTGAGTGGATGAGCTGGGGGATGCTGAGGAGGCTAGAGTGACAGGAGAGATGACAATCCTTGGGCTTTTTTGATCATCGGTTATGTAATGAGCAGAGAACCAGGATAAATTGTAGCTCCAAGGAAGTTGCTTAACCTGTATGAATTTCCAAACTTATGGCTAGATAAACATTATCTGAAAGAGAATGTCAGGCAAGAGGTGGGAACACATGTATGCCTGTCATGGACAATATTGGATAAGTACTCATGCATGCCTAAGATAATGAATGGTTGGGTTATTTTAAAAATCAGAACCAGAGATTTCCAGGCAGGATGGCTAGTCATAATTAGCCTTCATTGCATTTTTGTGCATTTTTGCTTATTTCAATCACTTTCAATTGTTTATCTTAAAAAAATTTTATTCAAAGTGCTCTATGAAAAGGGGCAAAGAAGGAATAAGGTAATTTTCTTTGAGACAGGGTCTAAGTTAGTCCAGACTGGCCTCAAACTTTGTAGGTTGCTAAGGATCACCTTAAACTTTTGATCCTCCTGCCTCTACGTCTCAATAACTGGGATCACTAGTGAGAGATAAAATATATTCTATGACTTAATTAATATAGCATGTATTTTAATTGAGATCCTAAAAAAAGTATTTGGCAAAATCAAGTAATGTATGTCTCAGAAATATACTCATTTTATACAGTTAGGACTGTGTTTTCTTGGGTCATGTCCAGACTCACATCCTAGGCCTGCATGTAGGTGATTAGTTGGAGAATATTATAATTCATTGTTCTGTGCTCTTGTTGACTTATTTGTTTGTTTTCAGTGGTGCTATCCAACACAGGGGCTAGCATGGGCTAGCCCAAGCACTGTTTCGTTGATCTCCATCCTCAGCCCTCAGAGCTCCCTTAAAGTTCCCTTTGGAAACTATTGGTGTTGGAAATTCTTTTCCAGTGTATATTTTATTATTTTAGTTTTTAAAATTGTATCATTAAAGTTATCGGTTGCATATTCTCTGGTTAAGTGGTCTTTACAAGGGTCTTGCTCAAGTTCTGGTATGTCACCAACTCATAAAAAGGGCTGCTTAGTGTTTTTTGTTTGTTTGGTTTTGGTTTTGGTTTTGGTTTTTTTTTTGTTTGTTTATAAAGAGATAATCATAAAGTTCAGAATAAGCCTCAGCCCCTCCTGGTGGTTTTCTCAAACCCTTTCAGACAATTGATGTTGAAGTTGCTAAGTTTCTGCCTTGAAGCCAACAGTGCTTTTCTAAAGGCCGGGCTCTGCTCTTTGACTAGGAATGGGGAAGAGTTAGTGATTTTGTTGTCATTGCACTGTGGAGGAGAAGGGGAGATGGTTTGAGACAGGGTCTCCAAAAGCTAGGCCTGTCTTGAACTCATTAGTGAGCTGGCCTTGAATTCCTCATCTTCCTTCCTCTACCTCCTGAGTTCTGGGACGATAAGTGAGTTCTGGGTATACAAGAGTTGCCTATGGGCCTGGCTTCTGAAATAAAGTTTTAGAAGTTTAATGATGAAACATTTATGCTGGTTTCAGTGGGGCATGCTAATTATTCTGCACTCAGGAGGCAGAGGTGGGAGGACTGTGATTTTCAGTCACCATGAGACATAGAGCAAGACCCTGTCTCCAAAAGAAACACACACTCTGAAGAAGAAAGAAGAAAAGCGAGTGAATATCACGCCACAGAGTTTTTTTGCTCACAAGTGTATCCACTAAGTGATCACACTGAGGAAGACTATGCTAACAGGAAAATGTTTACAGTCTTGCAATTCAAGCAATAAAACTGGAGGATTGGGGAGGTAGAGGCAGTGGAGCTCTGGGAGTTTGAAGTCAGCCTGGTTCATGCAGCAAGTTCCAGGTCAGCCAAGGCAACAAAGTGAGATTCTGGCTCAGAAAACCAAAGGATAACAACCACAAAAATTAAGTTGTCATTCCCTTTTATATTTACCCACAACAAAAACCCCTCCAGAACCAAAACAATAAAGCAAGCAAAACAATAAAAAAGAAGGACTGCAGCCCATCCTCCCTGTAATTTTTCCTAAGAACAACAGCAAAATTTTGGGAACATGTTGGATACTAACTCTCCATTTCCTCCCCTCTCCCCCCTTCTTACATCACAGGTGCTGTGGATTCTTATGAAGTAGTGAAGGGGGTAGTGGGTCACCCTGTCACACTGCCGTGTACTTACTCAACACGTGGTGGAATCTTTACCACATGCTGGGGCCAAGGGGCATGTCCATCTTCTCATTGTACCAACACACTACTCTGGACCAATGGATACCGCGTCACCTATCAGAGGAGCAGCAGATACCAGCTAAAGGGGAATATTTCAGGAGGAAACATGTCCTTGACAATAGAGAATGCTGTCCTGAGTGACAGTGGTCTGTATTGTTGTCGCGTGGAGGTTCATGGATGGTTCAATGATCTCAAAGTGACCTTTTCATTGGAAGTTAAACCAGGTAAGCTTTCTTTGTTTTCTTTCCTTATTTCTTGTAAGTGAACCATGTCTTCTGTTTGCTAGTAATTTGTTCTTTTCCTAGAACAAGGAAACACAAAGTTCTTATGAACATGTTGATTAAATGCTTGCTTTTGAGTTGTGTAAAGACATACTCTCCTGTATCTCAGGCTATCCTCTGATGGTCATGCTCTCCTGATTCAACTGCCTCTGATTCCAGTGTTGAGAACACAGGCATGTGCCACCAAATAATTCTCTTTAGAGGCACCGAACAACTTTATTTGCTTAGATGAAGTCCTAAAATATATCTTAATTCAAGACAGTGAGACACATCTGCTCCTGACAGCACCAATCTACTACAAGAGGAAGATGGGCATCAAAGAGGCTCCTTATGGAGTTTGTTAGATGAACTGGACATGCAAGATCCACAGAGAAATGACTATTGAACTTGTCTAAAGGTGAGACGATCCTTCAGGATTCCTGCTTCATGAAAGAGTCTGTGAGACATTCAGCAGGATACAGGAGAAAGTGACTGGCAAACTGCCAATATAGGCAGAACTGTTTTTAAAATTTCCTGCTTCATGGACAAGTCTGTCGAATACTATGGGCCCGGAGGCTGAAGATGGATGCCCCAATGGTGCAGAAAAACATTGGGTGACTGTCCAGGCAGTCAGATGTCTCTGTCAATTCTAGAGTTTTGGAAGTTGTTTACAAAGTATTTCCTGTTTACTTAGGTAGAGTCTTTGGTGGATTTAAAGAATCGATAGTTATGACTATGGTTTTCCTTAATTATGATAAAAGATAAAGTAGATATAAATAAATATCATAACCATAATTCTTGCTTGATAACTGTTTTGTCATATGTAATTTTACTATGTTAAAGTTAAAACCTTTTTATTTAAATGGCAAAGGGGAGGTGATGTGGGATTTTCCTCTGTATGCTGTGATTACCATTAATGAATAAAGAAAACTGCTTTGGGCCTGTTGATAGGGAAGAACTTAGGTAGGTGGGGAAAACTAAATGGAATGCTGGGAGAAAGAAGGCAGAGTCAGAGAGAGAGAGATGTTATGGAGCCACTGCCAGAGTCAGGCATGCTGAAACTTTGCTGGTAGGCCATGACCTCATGGTGATGCACAGATTAATAGAAATGGGTTAAAATAAGATGTAAGAGTTAGTCAATAAGAAGCTAAAGCTAATGGGTGAAGTTATGGTTTAAATAATACAACAGATGCTATTGATTTGTAAATTGTAAGTTGAACCTGCCTAATCCAGATTTAAAATCTGGAACCTTTTGAGCATGGACTTGAAATGCATCTGGAAAATTCAATGCCAAGACACTATCATGTGCACAATTATCCACAGTTTCTAAAGTTACCTTTTAAGCTATATATGTAATGTGTAGTTATATGAATGCTATGTAAATAATGTTTATACTTGAGCCTGACCCATAAGATATTATTTATATGCAACTGTTCTGAATTGTTAAGGAAGAGTTAAATACTTTAACTCCAGGAACGAGCCTTTTTTTTTTTTGATAAGGAGTATTCACCTTGTCTCTGTTAGATTGTAAGAAACCATAGAAGACAATGTCTACTCTCTATCCAAATATGCAAATCCCATTTGTGTTGGGATTCGTGTGGGATGTGTGTGCTAAGATGCAGGGCTATATGCTGTGTCCTCTCAGGACTGACTGAAGCTCCACTGGGCCTGGAAACTGTGGGTGAAGTCAGTCATCACTGAGAGAAGTCCCAGTCCCCCATACCCTCTCAGTCTCAGAGATGCTGAGAGATCTGAGGACCTGACAGCTGTCATTTATAATGTGTCCTTGGGAACAGGCTCTGTTCTCATCTCCCTGCTGGCGCTATAGCTTCCTCCTATTGGTGAGCTGTCTCTAATGCCCCACCCCACAACATCCTAGTTGGTCAATGGCAAATAAGAGAAGTTCAGGAGAGGAATTTGGGTGGGGAAAGCCTCTCACTAGTGCTACAGAAGAAACTCTTGTCTCTTGTTGACTCATCCTTATTTCATTTTGATTTCCAAACCCAGAAATTCCCACAAGTCCTCCAACAAGACCCACAACTACAAGGAGACCCACAACTACAGGGAGACCCACAACTACAGGAAGACCCACAGCTGCAGGAAGACCCACAACTTCAGGGAGACCCACAACTACAAGGAGACCCACAACTATAACAAGATCCACAACTACAGAGAGACCCACAACTACAGGAAGACCCACAACTACAGGGAGTCCCACAACTCTGTCAACAGGACTCACACATGTGCCAGCATCACCCAGAGTCTCTACCTTTGCTCCAACAACACCAGCGCACATGCAGACTCACACACCAGGTAAAAACCCAATGGTGACTCAGGACACAGAGTCCTTCTTATAAGCATCTGTAGGACACACAGACACTGAGTCAAGACAGAAATTTAATATAGGTGGAGAGTTCTTAGCTGTGTCCCAACAATAGCCTCACAAAGAGGGATGAGAAACATCCAGGCCCTTTCTAGAAGGTGAAATGACCCTTGACTTGATAAACCATAATCTTAACTAAGTGTTCAATTTTCCATGTGTTCATATCAACTATGTTTCAAAGGAGTTTGGGAGTCTATTTTTTGTTTTGTTTTGGAATTGGTTTTTGGTTTCTTGAAGACAGGATTTCTCTGTGTAGTCCTGGCTGTCCCAGAACTTGCTCTGTATACCAGGTTTGCTCCTACACAGAATTTCACTTTCCTCTGCCTATGAGTGCAGGCACCTTGAGGCATGCACCCCAGTTAGAGTTCAGGAGTCCAGAATGGGAAGTGTGAAGCAATCCTGAAGATCAATAAAGTTGTCTAGAATATTAGAACACACATCTCACTTGCTCAGGATAGTGGGACCATGACAGGCATTGCCTATCTTTGGGTACATTTCTCAGAGGAGTCAGCAGATACAGAAATAAGTAGGAAGGAGTCATTCCTGCTTAGGAGGCTGGGGTAGGCATTGGGAGAGGCAATGGTAAGATTTGTTTCTGTTTTCCTCAGTGGGGTCCAAACTCCAAAGCTGAAACAGTTCTTGCATTGTTCTCATTCCAGAACCCACTACATCTTACCCAAGTCAGACTACAGCTGAGGTGACAGAAACTTCATCCTACACCCCTGCAGGTAACTATGCCCCCCTGCCCCATCCCCTGGAAGGTCCACATCTTGGTAAAGCTGGTGTTGAAGAGCACACGCCCTCTGCAGCAATGCAGATCTGACATTGTAAGTGCTCACAGAGACAGAGGCACAGCTCCATTCCACCCCGATGGAATCCTCCAGACATCCCTTTCCATAAGCACCTCCATTCAGGTCAAGCTAGGCTGGGTGGCTTCTTTGAAGGAAAGAATGTCAGGGACAGTCAACATGATAAAGTGTTGAAAGTTTATCAAGATTTAACTCAGATCCTGAGCACAGGGTCACTAAGAAGTGAGATGTTTATGAAAGGAATAGGACACACTGGGGCATGCGTATGGACTTCTCCATACAGAGCACTTAGGTGTCTTTACATTGAGTGTACATGTGATGTTGGTGGCTCTTAAGATGGATCTCTGGAGGTTTGAAAGAAGTGCCCCATCCCTCTTGGTGCTGTTGGTTTAGAAACAATACTCCAAGATGTAATTTATAACAAACTTATATTTAAATCATTTTCTTCCATAAGCCATGTTGTGATACAGATTTCGGAGGGATATTTGTTTATATTCAGGAATGGGAGGGAAGGACTAGAAACAGGAGTTTCTACATTATTTGACCCTCAGCAAGTGTGCCTTGCTTGCTGCTTATGGCCAGTTGGTTTAAAATGTCTGCGAACAGCATAGATTGCCTCAACAGAAAATCTGTTTTTTATCAGTGGTTCCCCCAAAGTTTCTTGAATGTGTTAACAGAATAAGCAATATAACCACTCTCTTGTCCATCCCGGGACAATGAGCCATTGCCTTGCCACCTGCCTCAGGCTTTCCTTCTGGGGCTCACTGATTACTCTTGTCTTTCCTGGTCTATCTCTGTCTTGCCTAACAGTTGTGTGACTTACAGAAAGTCACACTCTCTTGAATCTGTGACATTATTTACTCAGTGAACATAATGGCACTTTTTAAAAGTAAAATCAGTTTATTGTAATAAATTTTTACTGAATATTGTGGTTACAAAATGTGATGGGGGACTTGGGTCATAAGTGATAGCTACAGTGTAGATCACACCTACACTGTTAGGTAGAGTGCCCAGACAACTGGCACAGGCAACTGTGGACAGATTTTTCTTTGGTGTGCCAGCTCACAAAAAATGACACAGAGACTTATTATTAATTATGAAAGTTCAGCCTTAGCTTAGGCTTGTCTCTAAACAGTTCTTATAGCTTATATTAACACATATATTTTAATCTAGTTTTTCTTTTCATGTTGCTCCATTATCTGTACCCTGTTGTCCCCATCCTGCTTCCCCTCAGTCTGACTGGGGACTCTACCTTTCTTCCTCTCTGGGTCCTCTTTGTCCCAAGAAGTCCCACCCAACTTCTTCCTGCCTAGCTATTGACCATTTGGCTCTTAAATGAGTCTCAGTAACACATCTTCACACAGTGTAAAAGAATAAAGTAAAGGAAAAAGGTAGCTGCTATGACTTGGGAACACCCATCTGTGTGACTCTTTTTACAAAGCAAATCACTCAGTTTGATCCCAGGCTCATCCTTGGGTTTAGTTGTTTGGGACTCAAAACAGTGGACCAGCTCCCTGGTTGCCGCACTAACCTTGTCACTTGTACTTCCTCCAGGACAGCAAAGAGTCTCCTCTCTTGCCTTGTCAGTCTAAAGCTCACATGGGAAATGGGAAGTTGCACTGTGGTCTCAATGTGTTCCCATATATTCCTTTGGTAATGTGTAATTAAACGCTGAGGTCATCTGGAAGGTGATTAGGATATAAAAGTAAGATGTTCGTGCACAGTGTTAGATCCTTTGGGAGAGGACTGGTGGGCCTGGTTTTCCCTTTCCTTCCCTTGGGGACACACAAGAAGTATCATCTCTGAACAAAGGAGCCCTCAGCAGCTACCCAGTCAGCTCGTGTCTGGATCTGGGACTTCCCAGCCTTTAGAACTATGACCAATGCATTTCTTTTGTTTATAATTTACTCACTCTAAGCAGTTTTGGAATAACAACCCAAGTGGACTAAGGTGGGTTGAGTATATGAACAGAAGCACCACATAGACTTGCAGCGCTGAGACCCTGATCCTCACTCACTCGGTACACTCTGTCCCACCGTCCACATTCTGGTTGGGTCTTATACTTCTCCTTAAAACTGTAGTGGCATGCGCTGCTTGACCAGCTGTGGAGATGCTGGGCTCTGCCATCTCTTTCAGCCATCTCCACACTATCAACAGGGGTCAGTTGAGACTGCCACAGGCTGCCCTTTGTGGTGCAGAGCTGACCCATATGTCCTTGAGGTACCTCCTAACAGGGCCAGTCCTGCAAGACTCTGGGTGGTTGTGTGTGTGTGTGTGTGTGTGTGTGTGTGTGTGTGTGTGTGTGTGCTAACGTATGTGTGTGACTCAATATTCTCATAAGTTGCTTCTCTGTGGTCTCCTCATCTATGTGGCTGACCTTTTCCTAGGCTTTCCTGAAGACAACTTAATTTAAAGTCATATGCAGTGAACCCACAGAGTAAGGAAGGATTAGGTAATGGCGACCTCTCAATGTTGAGAGGGAAATCCTTAGTGTGAACTGTTTCCAGGCAGAAAAACAAAATGAAACTAGATCCAAACACAAGGCAGCAGGAGCCGCTGTCTGCCACTGTTCCCAGGTGTGAAGAAGAAGGAAGGAGCGGGTTCAGGCTCTGTAAGGCCATGTCACCTAACCCTGCTCAGAGGAGAGCTTTGCCGAGTGGAGCAGGGAACGAAGCAGCTGGGTCCCTGGTTTCCCTGACTTCTGGCATTTTGGCCTTGTAACTTGAGGCTCCTGGGTGAGTCCTTACTGTGCTTATGGAATCTCTCTCTTGGTGAACATTCTGCAAAAGCAAGAAATATTAGGATCGAAAGGGATTTGGGTGTCACATGGGTCACCACCTGCCTTTCATATCTGCCTGCCAGGAACCTTATGCGCCATCCCATTTCATTAGTTTATGGTAATTTATGTCACTGCTGGATTGAGGAAACTCTTTAGTTGCCTTTGGAGACACACACCCTTCCATTTGTCCCCTATTCTAGGCACACATCTTTGGAGAAGTTGTTGAATTGTCCTCATTACATAAGCGGTACGATATTTCTAAAGTGAACTCCACAGTGTTCACACCCCTGCTCCCTGCTCCTTCCATCACATAACAATAATAACATCGCCTGTGTCTCCTACAGTGCTGAGTGCCCATGCGTGCATTCCTAAGTGCTTATTGCAGCACCTGGATTATGAGGTCACTTTGCTAATGAATATGGTCAGGACTGAGTTCAAGTTTTCTGATTTGGCTTCACCTTACTGAATCACTTCCTCTTGTTCCTGCAAGGTCTTACTTAAGGGCCTAGCTCACAAACAGAGCCCAGACTGTAGATGCTGCCTACACCTAGTCATTGCCTGTGGCTCCTTGTCAGGGCTCTCACAGAGAGTAAAATGTAAACACAGTACAGTGAGAACGAGAGGGGCTATGAGTCATTCAACTTTATTCGTGCTGGGCAATGTCAGCTTTGGCAGTTGTTGGGGACTCCCATAGACCGGTAGTTTTTCCGCTCATTGTGTGGGCACTGCGTGTACACTGACAGCAGAGATGTCTGTCATTTGCTAAAATTAGAAATATGGAGTCATCATGTATGCTTCATCATCTTTAAATGCAGTGAAAGGGACTCCTTGTCAGGGTGTTGCAACCCTTATATTATGTAAGATATCAGCAGAAAGTGGTTTCTGCGTTTCAGTCATACTCACTTAGAAACAATGCAAACAATAGATTCCTTGATATAAAATAGATTTTTCAAATATACTTCGATTATTTAAATCTTCATAACATGCTGTTCAATGAATCTCCTGCCATATTAAATCCGAACCCTTACATGGTATAAGACATATTGGCCTTGTGGGTAATATTTATAGATGTAGCAAAAAACTAAATTTTGCAATTATAATTAATTTTCCCTCTTGTTGAGCAGATTGGAATAACACTGTGACATCCTCAGACGGCTCCTGGAATAACTACACTGTAAGCATATTTCTCCCTCATTTATTAGCTATGTTCATTTGTATATCTTCTAGGAAACAATTTGTATTTAAAGATTTGTCTGTGAAATTAGTTCATAGATATTTGTATCAAAAAAGAGAAAGAAAAGAAAAAAGTCAGATGGTGGTATATTCCTTATTCTTAGGACTCAGGAAGTTAAAACAAGATATCAGAAGTTTGAGGACATCTTAGACCATTAGACAACTTGGACCACATAGTGAGACCCTGTCTCAAAAACTATAGATAAATAAACTCATAAAGGTATAAAAATAAAGAAATTAAAAAGAAGAATAAGATGCTTACAAAGGATGTTTGAATTTAAGATGTTTGTTTAGAGGCCCCTCATATTGTTTTCTACCCACTGGCCATTCACTATAGAGCCCACTGGTGATATTTTTTTTACACACACAAACCTGCACAGATGGTAGTAGGACTTGGACAGTCTTAGTTTAGCATGATTTTTCCTAGAGTTTTGTGTCCTAAGCTTGAGAAAAAGCAAAGGCACTCTGCTTCTGGGATTCTTGCCAGAGTTCTATCTCTACAAAATAGCCAAAGTAAATTTATCAATAGATTTTTTTTTCTCTTTTGGCTCCAGGAAGAAACAAGGTTTGTTTTCATGTGTGTAGTTAGCGTAGGAGATATGTTGGTTGAGATAAGAAAAAAAAAGCCAAATAGGGATTGTGTTGGAAGTAGCAGAGCCCTGTTAGTATGGGCAAGACCCCAGGTTTGAACCACCAAATCTACCAAGCCACAAGACACTTCAAGACAAGGTGGCCATATCTGTATAGGGCCAAATGGCCTAAGGGGTTTATACCTATTGACAGTCAGAACATAACACATAAAGGCTAATGTAAGTTTCTTTTGTTTGATTTTTGAGAAGGGTCTCACATAGTCCAGCTGTCCTTGAATTTAACTGCACACCTGAGGATGACCCTGAACTCCTGACCCTGCTACCTCTGTCCCTCAAGAACTGAAATTATAGGAGTAAATCCCATCATAACTTTCTCCCTTCTTTGAGACATCGTCTCATTTCCTAGCTCAGACTGGCCTAGAACTCACAATCTTCCATCTCAGCCTACTGAGTACTGGGATTACAGGCCTGTGTCACGTGCCCAGCTTGACACTAAAAATATAAGGACTTAATTGACATTAGCACCCAGTGGTCTGGCAGTTGTGGAAAGAATCTGTATATACTAGTTAAATATCAGACACCAGTAAGTACGTGCTACTAAGGGAGCAGACATATGACTCCATATAAAACCAAACAGCACTGCATATCAAGGTTGTTCCTGCCCTCAGTTACCTGAGAAACGGTCATACTTAGCAGCACGGAGGAATAACTTAGAGTTGAATTCAAAATAAGCCGTAGTGACTCTGGACTCGGAAGTCAAGCTGTCCCTAGGTGCAAGGAAATTGAATGCACAGAAGCACGTGGTTTTGTTTTCAGGTTGTTTTTGCTTGTTTGAGGCCAAATCCTATAGAGTTCAGGTTGGCCTTGCCCATACTATGTACCCGGGAAGGATCTGGAACTCCTGACCTTCCTGCTACCACCTCTTAGGTCCAGGGATTAAGGTTTGCACCCCTAGGTCTGTCAATAGCAGCAAACATGTTGAACCAGGAGATCAACTTTCTGGACTCTGTTTCATGAAAAGAAATTGAACAAAATCTGTGAAGATTACAGAGAAAGGATAAGCATTGTTGCCATTCATAATCAGGAACATGTTCTGAAGTAAATGTTCCATGGGCACGGTAGACACACAGACACATGTGAAGTCCAAGCTCTCAGGAGGGTTAGGAAGGAGGAGCAGAGGTTCAAGGTCATTGTCAACTAGTGAGATTCAGAACAGCCTGAGATCAGGAGAACCTGTCAGAACAACAAACAAACCTTAGATTCCCCATAGCCTTTTTGTCAAGAATACCTGAGAATCCCTCCCCAAGAACCCACTGAACACCTTGCTTGAGGACCTAGAGCCAGCACTCACAGAGTTTAGCTGACTTGTCCATGATCTCCCTGACTTAACAGAGGAGCCTGGATTGTGACCCCATAGATGCAGCTCACAGGTGGGCAAAGACCTGGTCTGTGACTTCCCTTTCCTTGTAGTTAAACCATTCATGGTCTCTGTTTAGCTTAGTAGCTTAGTGCCTCACCTGCTGCTCAGTTGTCTCCTGCTTCTTCCAGTATGTACAGTTCACTCATTACCTGTACCAGGGTACTAAGGGAGATTCTGCATTTCGGTTGATCACACAGTAGTAATCAGACTGTATCCTTAAGCTGAGTTCTACTACTATTCTTAGAAAGTTATTGAATATAATAGTATTGTTTCTTTTTTTTCTCAACTCTGTTCAAAGCTTTCTACTTACCCTCTCCTTGCTTTCTAATTCAGGGTCTCTGTTCCATTAGTTGTTAATATATTAATATGTTAGCATATGTAATCTATATAATATACAAAGTACTAATATATAATATATAATTAGTATGTATCTATCAAATATAAAATGTGTATTATTTATTAAATATATTCATATTTAATACATAAATGTATTCTTAAAATGATAATATAACCTGCCATTAATATAATGCTAACCATTTGGTATTAGATGTTTATAAAATTATACAATCATGAGTCACATTTACAAGACAAGTAGGGTCTGTGATGAAGGACCAGACAGGGGCTGAGCACACTGAGAGCAAGTTAACTTACAGATAAGCTATTCTTTTTCTCTTTATTAGTATCATAAGATGATGCATTTAGAGAATACCCTACAGACCATTAAACAGACATAATCATGTGCATGATGTGTGAACCCACATTAGGCATGTACTTAGAATTTTGACTGAGGCATCTGCTGTGTAATCACCTCATATAACATAGATCATGTTTCCATCATCATCAAAGACACTGATTCCACTGCCTGTTACGACCTCAGAGACCACCAGCCTAGCCACAACCCTGCAAAGATGAAGTTCTAGGACCTAGAGTCTAGGTGAAGGCCAAGCATTTGTTTTCTGTTCCTCTCACTTGGTGTCCCTCCCTTGTGTTTACCACTGGTCATTTATTGTTGCTGTTATTTTATTTATTGCTTCCTTAGGAATCTGTCTCTTTGTGGAAGACACAGAAGAACATGAGTAACGACATTTACACTGGCGTCTCAACTGCTGCCGTGCTGTTGCTGCTGCTCGCGTGCATTGGGGTTATCAGTAAGTCATTTCACAGCTGTCCCCGAGGAAGGAGAGCCAGGGCTCTCTGTCTTTAAGAAAGTGCACATGCCACGGGGGCTTTGAGTTCTCATGGCTTCTGTATCCCCAGATCCAGCACACTCATGTTAAACCATCCACTCCCATAGGCCTATGTTAGGATCCACAAAACTCTGTGGCTGATTTCTGATGCTTGGTGAGTGCTCTGCTCAGTGACCTTGAACCATTGCTACTGTGTGTCTCCAAAGATTCCTGTTCTGTAAAACTTGATCTCGTGTACTCCACACTGGTACAGACCTTACTAGGTAGCTGAGAATGGCCCCCAGCTCCAGATCCTCTGGCCTCCAACATCCCCGTGCTGGGCTCACAAAAATAGGCTGCAGTGCTTGGCAACACTCTTGTTTCCTGATCATGTCCTTTGTCTTTCAGTTGTTGCATCAAAAAGGAAACATTTTATTTTCCATAAAAATTTAAATACTATGACACAAGACATTTCAGATAGACTTGATATTTTAGGTCACTGTAAGACTTTTGATATATTCCCTCCTGTCCTACCCTCGGATCTCCCTTGTTTCTCATGGTCATACTGATGACTATTCTGTTGAATGTACTGTTAAATGCATTTATTAGAAAAGGCGAATGAGACATTGGTTGGAAACCCCATGACTAATGCGGGAACAGACTATTTGTAGGTGGCACCCAGGCCTATATGGCCCTTTCTATGAGTTGAATAACTGTACAGAGAAAGTGTTAGCCATGGACTTTACAAAACATGATGCATGAGCCCATTACTAACCTGCTTCATAGGAAAGGGGGAATAAGGATATGCCTGTCAGATTTCAGATGGTTCCCTCTAATCATTTAAAAGCTGTTCATCCAAAATGTGCCATGTGCCTATAATACCAGCATTCTACAAATCTGTGGCTGGTTTGGGTTACATATCAGGTAACGACCCAAGGCAATTACTTAGCAATTGAGTAAAACACCACAAATGTGTTCACTTCATCAGTCCATAGTTAGTTATTCTTCCCTTATGGGCTGGTTCTCTAACAGCCCGTTAGAAAAAAATCGAGACTTTTTGTTTGTCTAAGTGAACAAAAATTTACCAATCTTAGTCAAGAAAACTAGGCTATGTGGATGAATACACCAATGAATGGAAAGATCTTTCCTTGAGGTTACAGAAAGGAATTACCCAAAGTTACTTGGGGACGTTTTAATCATAAACCGAGACAACATCCTTGATTAGGAGAAAGGGTCATGAGTGTTTCTGATGACATGGGCAATTCTCCCTTCAACTTCTCCCACCTTTTCCCACCCCAATTTAGGTGTCATCCTTAAGAAAAAGAAGTCGAGGTCGAGGTCGAGGCCTGCAAGGTAAGCTGGCATGGCTTGTGTGGATTCTTTTTGAACTAACAATCTTGAGAATATCTCTATGCTCTCTTTTGCTACTAAATCATTCATTACTAATTGATTCATTGCTGGGTTGGTTGATTTGAGACAGGGTTCACTATGTAGTCCAGACTGGCCTGGAACTTACTGTGTAGCAAGGCCAGGCTGGAACTCACAATCCTCCTTCCTCAGGCTCTTTCACTCTGGGATTACAGATGTGCTCCGAAATACTTATCCTTTATTCTGTAGGTTGGATCCCCAAATAAAGTTTAATGAGTCTCTTTCTTGTTACCCTTATTTCTCAGAAATACTTTCTGCATTCTGTATTTATGTATTTATGGTAGGACAGAAACAGAAGGCCTCTTGATCCTAATCTCTTATAGGTGGACACTGATTTGTAAACTTTGCTTCCTGGAGCTGGTACGGAAGGAATTGTTTGACCCACTCTTGTTTCCTTCGGTGTTTTCTTTCATTGCGTACCTATTCCATTAAGAAGTGATGAAGTATATCTCAGAGCATATAAGCTAGTAGAAAGGTCATTTAGGTGCTTTAAGGGAAGTGTGCTGGGGAAGACAGGGTTAGGAGGTAGGCTGTTCAAGGACACCCAAGGGAGCAGAGGATTTAGAGGAAGATTATTTCTGAGTCTGCCGGGAGTGTAACAGAACTGTGTATGCTTTTCTCCTCCATGCTTAATGTTAGAGGATTAGATGCTTTGAATGTTTCAAGACCCTTTCTTTCTCAATAAAGAAAATCTTGTATTATAGTGTACGTGGTTTGTGTGTGGTGCTGTGAAGTGCCATGGCACCTGAAGAGGTCAGAGGACAGCTCCGTGGAGCTGGCTCTTTCCTTCTGCCTTTTCCCAGGGTTCCGGGACTCTCACTCAGTTTACAAGGTTCTCTTTAGACTTCTAAAGCATCACAGTGCAGAGTAAATACATGAGTTATCCAGTTTCTAGCCCAGTTCCAAAATGCACGTGCTGATCAGGTAGCTCTGTTAGCTGCCTAGATATCTGTCTCTCTTGACCTCCAACTTTTGTGTTTCATGGCATTAGTATCTTGAAGGACTCCAATATGAACTGCCTTTTTCAAAAAATGATTTTTAGTTTGTCTGATGCCTATTAAACAAACTTTTCTATGACTTAATAGGAGGGCCCTGTGTAGTGCCGTTTACTGTTAAGAATTTTGTCAATGGGTGTCCTGGAGTCTTGAACATATATCTGGATTGAAATCTCTGCTTAGACCTGAAAGGTAACCTCTTGTTCTTTCTTCAACATCTCTCTCTCTCTTTTTCTTTCTCTGCAGCTTGGTACTGTACCGTGTCTCTAAGAGTGGACCCGGGCGAAACATAACAATTGCCCAGACCCAAGATGATGAGAATGTCTTCAACGTAATTGCAGACAGTCTTTACCCTAAAAATGAGTCCCAGTAACCCTCTGAGGAGCCCTCTGCCTGAGACTGCAAAGACAGCAACTGGATTTAACAAAGCAAATAGCCTTTCCAGCTGCAGGGCTATGTTCTGTGTCGGTTCATCCAGAAGTGGTGGAGAGGGTGACCCTCCGCTGTTTATACTCAAATTCATGGTTCACATCATCCTAATTCTTATATCAACACTGCCTCAGTCTCTCACTCAATGCAGAACGTTCTTTCAAACAAACATTTTAGTATTTTGAGTTTCCTTTAGTCAACATAATCATGGGTAATACAGGAAATAGACTTTTGTCTTGATCATTAAAACCATTAAGAGAGGTATAAAAAAAGTTAAAAAAAATAAAAAGCAATGGCAAGCTGGAGGCACATCCTGAATTTAAAAGTATTTCATGATCATGTTTTATCTATTTTATTGTAATTTGAAATGTCACTTTTTCTCCCCTCCCTAAGGGGTCGTAAAATCGTGGAAACATACAGGTTTAATTTCCCTCACAGACAAATAGAAGGGACTGTAATATTACCATTAGAGTTGGTTATGCTTTCTTATAGTTCTGGAAATACGATACATTATAATGTGATTGAATTCTAGGGCTTCCCTTGTCTGTTCTAAAATATTTGTGTTTAAACTACAGTGTTTTCTGTTTCTGAAATATGCAGCAACTACAGATCACAGCAGGACTTCAGCGATGATAACCCCGATTTGTAGCTTTTCAAGAAAGATTTGTCAAGCCAGTCCTACAGTGGTGAGGCCACCAGAGGGGGCTATCAGCCCCTGAACTCTCCTGCCTCCTGATTCTTACCTGGTGGCTGCTGGTCTCTGAAGACTATGATTGATGGAGGAAGGTCATTGGTTAATTATAATAAAGAAACTGCTTGGCCTCATAGGAGAGACGCCATGCTCCCCAAGCAGAGCGGTCGAGTCTGAGCTCACTTCCTCTTCCTCCCAGCATTCTGTTCTGTTTACTCCACCCACCTATGTTTTAACCTATGAGGCCAAGCAGTTTCTTTATTATAATTAACCAATGACCTTCCTCCATCATATGATGTCTGCTCTGTTCTTCAGTCTTCCTAGAGATGCATGATAGACATGAAGGGGTCTGGAAATCTGTCTGGCTGTCCCACCTAGCATTTACAAGTTTTACTTGAACGCAAGAACATGGTGATTAGTGGCATTCTGTAAAAAGTATGTGGGACTCAAGGAAAAACATGTCCTATATATGGGTTCCAATACTGTCAGTAGTAACAATGGGGTAACGTCTATTGTCCCCGTCTGTTTGCTGTTATCATATCCACACTTACCCTGCTGGACAGGGGTCATTGCAATAAGAGGTGACCGTGAGAACTCTTTGAGCAGTGGGAAACATTCCAGAGTGTGCGTCTGTACCCTAGCAGATGTTGTAGTAATAGCCGATGTCGAGTTAGAGCCGAGCAAACGATTTTCATATTACTATAACCCAGAATCTATTTTGTATGTGTCTGAAACGTCTTTAGAATAATCATGTTTTCCTTTGATAGAGTTGCTGTTTGTGCTTTTGCTATATTCTAGGAGAAAAAAAAATAAACACCAGTTGAGAGGATCGATAGAAAGATCCAAGGTGAATTTTGTTAATAATCCCACAGATAAATCAGCCTTGTTGATTTTATGAAATTGTCTTTTAATCTAGAACTTTCAAGACACCATTGAGGTTGTTACCTGTAACCTGCTGTGGGAGAGTTCATTACAATACTAAAAATTAACTTCTTTTTAAACCTTTTTGAATTCTGAGTGCTGGGATGAAAACTATGTGGCAGCCTTTCGACAGTGCGTTTCAACTTTATGACTCTTTGAGCATCTTCTGGAGCAACAGAACCAGTTCTCTGAGGATGCTGTGCACGACCTGGAGAGGAATGACGTCACCTCCGCCGTGTACTTTCTCTAATAGAAACCTGGGTTCTTCACCTTAAAAATAGACATTGATTTTTTTTTTCAAGCTTACCAGTTCATTTGGGATAGACATCTTCACCATACTATGTGCGGGGCCCACAGGACATGGGCATATTGAATTCAAATGTTCCATGATTTAATCACGTGCTAGATATCCTTCTCAGGGCTGGGGGTAGACCAGGGTCTACTTCTGAAGTCTAGTTCCGAGGAACTACAGGACATGAGGAAGTAGATGTAAAGGGACATCAATTCGGGTCCATTAATCAGCCCATTGATCCTGAGGAGGGAATGTCGCGAAGGTGCTTGGCTTCCCAATAATGACATTTGGGACTCGGAAACTGGCATGAGGGCATTAGCAGAATCTAATCTCTCCACTGTGAGCCTCTCACACCCAAGCCTCAGTCCAGGCTAGCCAAACACTTCACTCCAGTTACAGCCTCGGCCCCAAGACTACTGTATTTTTACTTAAGCGTGGGCCCATCAGTTGGGTCCTGCTTTAAATGTGTCTGAAGAAGCCAATTCGTCGGGTGTGACAGGACGTGCCCACAATCAAGCAGGCAGGAGGCTGGTGCAGGACAAGCAAAGCTGCCCATCAAACAAACAAAACAAAACAGAACCAGATTAAGCAAACCACAGGAGCTCAAGCAATTCCCAGGAGGCTTCTGGGAAGCCCAGGGGTTTTTATGTTCATTCACCTCTCTCCTCCCTCTCCCTTCTGGGAATCTGTGTCCTAACTGGGGCCTCTGTTCCACTCTTGCTCTCCTAATAGTCCAGAGTCCTCACCTGGTAGCCCAAGATCCAGCTCTAAGATTCTCAGAAGGACCCACCTGCTCTGTTGTAAAGGAGGAGCCTTTCAGCCATTGCCTGGGGGACTGCCTCTCCCCCACCTTAGCCCACCACTCCTTCCTGATTCTGTTTCAGCCACACTGGCTTCCTGTCTGCTGCTAGGAGAACCTGAGTTCTCCTGGTCCTGGCACCTATGCCGTGGCTGTTCCCTTTCTTAGGATGCTTCTCTCTGATGTTTGCAGGGCTGCCTTGTAGCTTTCAGATTCCCAATTACATGTGTTGTCCAGAAAACATCCTTCTCATCTCTAGTCAGTTGTTCTTGTGTAGTTTATTCCAGTCCAGCTCTTATCAGAGAGTAAATGCTAATCACACCTGCAATACCTTAGGAGCCTACTTAGTGTTTGACTCATAGTTGTTGCAAAATGAGTTTCTGTGCTGTGATTGGAAGGGTGAGCCCATGCCTACTGGATTGCAATCTCATGAAGAGGCCCTAGAGAGAAACCTCAGTGGTTAGTTGTGCAGGCTGCTCTTCCAGAGGACCTGGGTTTGAGTCCCGGTGCCCACACGATGACTGAAAACTGCCTGTGACTCCAGTCCTGAAGGAGCTGACTGACTCTTTTCTGACCTCCTCAGACACCAGGCGTGCATGTGGTGCACGGACACACTTAGGTAGGCAAAATATCCATACACATGAAAAGAAAGAAAATATTTTTAAAAAGTTTTTAAGAGAAGGAAGATTCATGAGTTTTTCTTCAAGGAAGTCAGGATGCTGCAGGATAGGTCAATATCCAGGCAATGGAGCAGCAAGACCCAGGGAGCCGGGAGCAGAGCTGCTGCCACTGCATTCTGCAGGGCACTGGGAGGGAGCGCTTCACCATGTCTTTGTCTCCTGCTCTGGAAATACAAACTTCTAGCATTACATTTGCTTAAAGTAGTTCTATGAAATTCAAAGGACTCCTATTGAATAGGGATGACACAGTGGAGTGGGTGTTCCATAAGTGGGAATTGGTGATTTCCTGAGCTGGCACGGGTGACAGAATCCAATGTCCACCCCCAGACCCGTGATGACCAAATTTGTTAGAGGGAAAGTGTTTCTTAGTGGAGCATATGTTTATGTGTGTGGTCTCCTATCCTTCAACTCCTCGGTGCCATCCTTCTGGGACAATAGGTCTTATTAAGAGAAGGATGGAAGGAAGGAAGAAAGGAAGGAAGGAAGTTAGTTGTAATTAGCCTGAAAAGCAAAATCATGTTAATTCAAATACTTCCATCTTTGTTCCAATACCTGATTTGGAGACTCGTTTTGTTTTCCTTAAAGAAATTTATTTTCTGTTAATTCTTCTGAGGAAGGAAGGGTGCATTTGGGCTCACAGTTTGAGGTCACAGTCCTTCATGGTGGAAACCATGGTGGCAGCGGCAACATGAGGCACAATGGTGGTGCCATTGTGTGCACAGTCAGGAAACAGGGTGATAAATCTGTCACTCAGCTGCTTCCGCCCTTATTCAGTTCAAGGCTCAGGCTGCGGCCCCTGCTGCCCCTTCATCTAATTTTTATGCTACACATTAAACTTCAGAGATGCGTTAGCAGTTTATGTGCCTGCGGCTCTTCCACGGGACCAGGATTAATTTCTAGCTCCCATGTAAAGGGGCTATAATGGTTTGTAACTCTAGCTCCAGGGGATCCATTGCTCTCTTCTGACCTGCAAGGAATGCGTAGGTTGACATTCCCATCTATACACACACACACACAAATAAATAAAATAATAAGCAAATTTAATTAAACAAAATTCTTTTAACATACATATATTATTGAGTTTTTACAATCTCAAATGATAAAACGACAAAATTCATACAGCTACAAAGTACAGTCCTCCTATTGCAGCTGCTTTTCTACCTGAGAGACACAATGAGGAGTCTGGTGATATTTTCCATGAAATTTCCACCTCAAAACAAATGCATGTAAATAAGTTGTCATTGTCTTGTGTTATTAAATTGCCTGACTCATCTAAATGGGTGTAGGGGCAGTATCTTATAGCCACTCAGATGCTGGTGGGTCAGAAAAAGTTTGAGTTCCAAGCAGATCTGTGACATTGTCCTCAGCATCTTTACAAAGCCCATGCATGGTTTATTTAATTCTCTCTTTGGTTGGGGGAGACGAGGAAGCCCTGCAAAGTGACAACACCTTCTGGAAACATTTTACTTTGAACCACGTAGCACCTTCTAATCGCCAGAACAGAAAATGGTCACATCCAGTTTCCTGTTGTAACAGGGTCCCAGACCTTAGTAGGCCCTGAGACCTTAGCACAACAGACTCCATGATGGAAGTGCCATTCAGGCTGTAAATCTCAGCACATAGACAACATCACCTGCCAAAACAAAATAAAATCTAATTCATCATAATCTATATAATTCTGGGAAAGTCTAAGTACTAAATCTATAGTCTTCTAAGAAAGTTTCTAAATGTTATAACCTTGCTTTTTTAGCTTCCGTAGCTCCACTTCTGGCTAACTGTTCTTGTTAACTAAAGTATGTGAACCCAGGACATGTTTTTTTTTTTAATTTATTTATTATGTATACAATACTCTGCCTGCATGCCTGAAGGCCAGAAGAGGGCGCCAGACCTCCCTACAGATGGCTGTGAGCCACCATGTGGTTGCTGGGAATCGAACTCAGGACCTCTGGAAGAGCAGGCAATGCTCCCAACCACTGAGCCATCTCTCCAGCCCCCGCAGGACATGGTTTTTGTGCTTAAAAGCTCATCCTGAAAAAGGGTCCATGTTACAATGGGATCCCGAACATCCAGTACAGTTGCCACATGGCAAATAAAGAGTTTGTATTCAAATAACCCATGTCTTAGCAGTGTTCTATGGTGAATACCTCACAAAATTTCTGGAGGTCTCAGCAAAATCTTGTAGACTAGACCTCAAGACACTGGGGTCGTGGACCCCCTTGGAGTGAGGAAGAGTGTGGTGATCAGCAGACTCCTAGGGCATGCTCAACCTGAGATATTCTAGGTCCCCAGGACTCCAGGTCAGTAACTGCCTAATGCTTCAGAGGGGTCTGAAGAACTCAAAAGGAAATAAATTAGAAAGTCGCCTCGTCTGTCACCTTCAGAGGTAAGTCTGGTTAAGATGCCTTCTGTTGGGCACGTTGGAGGTGTCTGGCTTAAGTGCTAATCCAGG